CAGGTAGCATTCCCGATAGCATGGCTGAGTCTTTAAATAATAGTAATAAATTAAAATAAAGCTTCCAGGGGAATTTTCAGTCACTTATTTAAAATGTTATTAAAAATAATGAGAATTCAAGGGAAAAAAAAAATAGCTGACCCGACGTACACAGATGTCCGGAACTGGCAATGGGTGACTAAGAAGAGGCTTTCCATTCCTGGTGGCTAACATTACTCTCGCTTTGATAGTCCCAGTTATCCCTCTGTCCCCTCCTTCACTCTCTAGAAGCCTTGCCCCTCCATGTTGTTGCCTAGCTTGAAGGTGCCCAGGGCTGGCAGCACAAACCAGAATCCAGGCAGTGACTGGCACTGGAGAACTCATGGGGACCCTGCTGGAACTTCCCAAACACTAGAAGAGAAAAGCCCCTTTCTGTATAAGAGGAGGGAGTTTATGATGAGACACCATGACTCTGAGCAGCTCTGAGCAGCATGGGGAATAACTGTGGATGCTGCCGGATTCCTGGGGACTGGAGCCCCCACCCCATCTTACCTATAACATCCTTAGCTGCACTCTACAGACCTGGTCCCAGCTGCCAGCTGGGAAGGAACAGGCAAAGGCCTCTTGACACACCCTCTCTAAGTCGCTAAAGCCCATTTTTTAGCCCACATCATGAATCCTTTCTTTCCTGGTGTATAGTCAGAGGCATCCAAAGCAGAGATGGAAAATGCCTTGCCATTCTAACCTTTTTCTGAGGATCAGGTGTGGCCCAGGAGCCTGAAGGAGCTGAAGGGCAAAGTCCCTCCTGCCACCTGCTGTCCTGCTCCAGTACAGCAAGCAAACTGCCCACAGAGGCCATGAGGGATCAAGTGTGCAGAGTTTCCCTCATCCATCCTTCCCGAGGAGCTCTGTGGGTTCCTGTAGAATGACTGTGGACATGTTATCCTCAAAAGCAAGGAGAAAAGACCAGGGGTGTGGTAAACAGCTAGGGGGTTATGGGCTGTCCATCTGGGTATCAGTCACTTCTGCCTACCTGGAACCAACTGTTAACACGAGGGTCACACCCAGAGGCAGCAGCTGAGAGACACAGCTGTGGTTTCATATGCACAGCCATTCCCACTGCCGTGTTCCCATAAATCTCCAGAGACAAGTCCCAAGAGCGAACTAAGAAACAGCAGCTTTGACACTATCCTGGAAATATTTCTGCCCAGTTCAATCATAATTGACTTCAACATCAAAAAGATTTAAAATTCACTTCAACTTTTCTCCTAACTATATTTATGTATAAATCCCTGAGAAGACACCTGTCCGCTTGGAATTCACTATTTACAGTTAATACACACGAGGGCAAGCAGATCCCCAGGCCTGTTCCTCTACTCTCCCAAGTCAGCAGAGAGGACCAGGCCTCCCTTCCGAAAGCAGAAGGCAGAGTTGATGTCCTGAAGCCACAGCCCTGCCCTCTATCCACTCCTGGGGATCTAGAGGTCTCTGCCTGGTAATGCAGTGAGAAAAACAAGGGCTTCTCAAGGGCCTTTGTTTTTCTGCCTTTTTAGACCTCAAGGCATCTGGTGCCAGATGAGCAGGAAGTTCAACCAGACCGGGGGGGGGGGGGGGGGGGGGGTAAACGGGTGGGGGGAGCAAGCAGAAAAAAGGGTGAGGGAGGGAGAGGTGACACAAAGAAAGAATACAGGGGTGACACGACGATAGAGTCACAGGGACACTTGCTGGACACAGCAGAGAAAGGGTTATGCATCAGGCCCTCTCTATGAATAGCATGGAGTTACAGGGAGGGTGACCAGTCTGTGAGTAGATACAACTGTTCAAACAAAACAAAAACTATTCCTAAAGAATGCTGCTGGACACGGGCAGCACTCAGGCATCCCAGCCATCAGGAGGCAGAGGTAGGCAGATCTCTGTGAGTTCAAGGCCAGCCTGGTCTACAAATGGAGTTCCAGGACAGCCAAAGCTACATAGAGAAACCCTGTCTTGAAAAACAAAACAAAAAAAGAATGCTGCTAGATGTCAAGGACACCAGGGGACCTCGAAGACTGATGAAATGTCTAATGAAACCCTCAACTAAAAGGAGATGGAGCTAACAACATGGCTTAAGAACAGACATCCTCCTTCGGTCACCCCCACAGGGACACCAGTAGCCTGAGACAGCTTCTTCCTTTTCAACAAGTGAACTCCGCACCTGTGTCTCCACATCACCTCAGCCACTCCACTCCCAGGTGACCCTGAAGGTGCAGGCAAGCATGGGTAGGAGGGCTCTGTTCACAAGTGTGTGTCCCCATGCTCCTCCCATAAAAGCAAAAGCCACCCCAACCCCAGAATGAGGAAGACGCTAGGCCACTTTCTTGACTGGGGAGATCCCTGAAGGCATCACTCCACTAAAGAGCTGGCCTCCCATAGAATGATCTCAGACACACTGCTGGAGACACCAAAAAGACTCTACAGACCAGGCTGGACCGGCCTTCCCTACACTTGGGTCCCCTGAGTTTCACAGCTCAATTTTTCTCCCCAGGTAACAAACTAAAGCTCACCAACAAGAGAGGCTTCCCCAAACTTTCACACCTCTGTCATTGACTCAAAGACTTAGGGGTTTAGAAGTCTTATAAAATAACACAAGTGTCACCAAAGCTTTCATGTAGCTAAGAGGAACAGCATCATCCAGATACCTGGTCAGGACTAGCACGTTTAAGGGAAGAATGCCTCTTCCAAATACTTGGGAAGCAGAGGCCTCCAGCCCCTTGCTGCAACACTATTCATAGTCCATACTTATGTGGGATGCATCTGAAAAGGGATCATGAAAAGGTAGATGGATGGGAGGGACCAAAAATGTACATCTCTGATAGGTCAGCAGCGGGACCCAGGCTTGACAGGGTTATGTACCATTCCTAATGTGACCCTAAAACAGTATAAACAGGATGGGCGATTTGCCAGTGCACTAACCCAGACTCTAAGTCATTCCATGGGTGAGCTGCCTGAAAACTGCTGTTCCTATGACAACCAGGCAAACTGCATAAATGGAGCTTGTTATGGGAGCTCAAACTGGGTATCCAGGAAGAGCCCCCTGAGACAAGTGGGGCTTCCTACAGCCCCTGCTGAGAAGCCACAGTCCCATAGCATTGGGGTATAGCTCCCCTCTACAGCAGGGATGTGGATTAAAACTGTGTTGTATCTATGGACAACCAGCATGAGGAAAGTAGATTGCAAGCATTGTGGCTAACAGTGGCAGGGTCTGTGACAAGCTGGGTGGTAATGGACATTCATGACAAGAAGATCCACAGTGCCAAGAGAGAGAGAAGAGATGGTCCCAAAAGATCGCGGAGGTTGCTTGTGGTCCTCATAACCCCCAAGGAGATTTAGTCAAAATCCAAAGTCCTAGGTCACAAGAGCAAACCCAGCTAACAAAGATCAATAATTGTAGAGGAGGGTCCAGACCCAAGCATTATCCTTGGTATCTTTCTAGGGTTAAAGAGAAACTTAATATGATTTTAAAACACCAAATGGTGACACACCAGTGTTAAGTCTTCCTGGGAGCAGCCTACAGTACTATTTTATGGAGTTTGGGGGCAGGTTAGCAAGATCTCCTATTGTTTGCTGCCTAATGGTACCAAATAGGAAGGAATAAGAATAAACCAGTACCTCCCCCCACTCTGCCCATAGTATGAGGCAGACCTCAGCAAAGGGCTTCCAAATCCATCCATAATATTCTGAATCTATAGCTTCCAAGTATTTACAGTAAATACTCAAATAAAGTGCACTTTGACAGATACTCTAAGACCCAGTTGGGGTTTTCCAATGATTTGAAGATAAAAGATAGATATAGAGAGAAAACTTTCACTGACAGGTTGGCACCCAAGGCAAATGCCATTCCTGCCAAAGTCCCACATATTGGAAGTTCTACAAAGGTTGTGTGAGGATGAGCCAAACATTGGGGCTCATCAAAGGGGAATTGTCAGTCAAAACACAAAAAGAGACTCTCTGGAGGAGAGGGCCACCATCAGAGTATAGGCCACTCCAGGAAAACCTTCCCCAAACTGTGTAGTATCCAGGGTGTACCACCTGTTCAGAAAGTCGCCTGTCCGCCCCTCACAGTTTGCAACATCCCTACCCTCTGCATCTTTGACATGTTGAAGGATATCCACATTCATTTTGTCTGAGCACATATGACTTTGCCTCTACCACTCATTTGTTAAATCTTCCCACGTTAAATAACTGTTTCCCTCAAATTGCCCAAGCCCATTGCTTTAAGTTTGGTCCTAGCAACATATTCACTTCTGCAATGAGTCATAATCACTTTCAATGAGTGATGATGATGACGGTGATGATGATGATGGGAACAAAAGTTTAAAAAAAAATGAAACAAAGGAAGTAAGACTTCCATCTCACTCAATCTTTTTGAATAGAAGTCAGTACCTTCATCAAGTAGAAACAGGCATTTGGCATCACTCAAGTTAATAGGAAAAGCCAGTGCGCAGGTGTGTCCATGGGACACAAGAAGGCAAAAGCCAGAACCAAGTGACAAGTGGGCAGAATCCCACGAGTTCTGTGTAATTCACACAGCCATTACACGTATTTATTGCTAGAGGCAGCATTTTAAACGAAGGTCTCCAAACACAAGTATTAAAACTGCCTTAATTACAAAGAGCCTGTCGTTTGTAAAATGCTTCAATTTTTCATAAATAACATAATACAAAAGTATGCGGAAATGCCCTTGATAAATTAGGTTTTTTAATTCTTAATTGGGGTCCTCTAAGGGGTGACTTCTAAGTAAGCTGCTCTTCTAAGTACAGATTGCTCAGGGAACTAGTTTTAAGCAAAATCATCTGTAATCTTTTCAGTTCTGCATTGGGAGTAATGTGGACACCCCCCACCCTCACCCCTACCCCCTTCCTGGATCTAGGAAAGGAGAATGACCCAGAGGCTGTGTGATGCAACATGCACTCGTGCCAGAAAGGAGCACCCCTCTCTGTGGTGCTGTCTACACCACCCGCAGACTCCCAACTGGATCCCTGCACGTGGTGAGCATCATGGCCCCTTCACGTCCTTTTCCTCCAGCGTGGCGCCCGCTTTTCCTTCTGAACCTCTGCCTGACGTTTCTTCTCCGCCTCCTCCGCTTTCCTCTTCTCCTCTTTGGCCTCCTTGTACCGCCACTTGGGGATCTGCAGGTATATGCTGTCCTTGTTATTGCCCTTGGGCGTTGCGCGCTCGGGCTGGAAGGTGGGTGCAGGGGCCTTACTGATGCGCACTCTGGGGACCACCACACCTGGCCGCACGCTGCTCCTCCGCAGCAACTGCAAGGGTAGGAGGCTGGCCTTCCGAGAGATAGGGGCAGGGGTGGATCCTGGTGCCCCCGAGGACTGGGATGACCAGGGGCTGGCTCTGGGGGTCTCCAAAGTCTGGAATTGCGGCTCAGAGTCCTCTATCTTGTTGCTATCCTGAGCAATGGTGTCCTGGTTCCTCCTAGCTGCAAGGATTTCCTGCACTGCTGGGCGTCTTTTCCCCACACAGGGAGGGTTCTCCGGGCACACAGTCTGGCAGACAACAGCAACAGCGGGGCTATAGAGGCTGGTGGTCATCCTAACCATGTGATCAAGGACACCTCCATCCTCCAGGCTCTGGCCTGAGCGGGAGGTCAGAGTGGTCCTCAGGAACTCGGTGAATCTCTGAAAGCAGTTTTTGGAGCCCACAGGTTTCAAGAGCCTCTCAGCAGGAAGTGGCAATTCCAGCTTATACTTGTCCCCAAACTGCTCTGGGCAGGGTCGTTCCATCAGCCTTTGCATGACACGCACAGCCTCCACTCGACCAGTGTACGCAGCCCACTCCTGTGGTGACATCCCACGACGGGGATCCCTCGCTTGGACATCTGCCCCTGAAAAACAAAAACGCACATGCGAAGTGTGCCAGGCGGCCAGGATGCGCTTCCACGGGCAATGAATGATGGGAGAATTTGGAACAGTCATGCTGGTTAATTCTATATTCATTTGGCTAGGCCACAGTACCCAGTGGTTTGATCAAATCCTGAGCTTGACACAAGCCTGGAGAGATTGGACTCAAAGTAGGAAGGCTTACTTTCCAAATGTGGTGAGCCTCATCTGATCAGCTGCAGGCTGTAAGAACAAGGAGGGGTTTCCCAGAGCGGCTCCCTCTACAAATTTCAGAGCCCTGAATGACCATGATCGCATAAGGCTCTTTAAATGACCTGTGAGCTGTTTCTTTACACACTCTCCAGGCACACCCCTATCTTCCTGGAAAGTCTCCCCTCCCAAGTTCCCTTTCCCAAAAGACACTGCAGACAAACCCCAGCTCAGCTGAGACCTCATACATTCCAACTTCTGCCTACAGAAGTGGATGCAGAATCGCTGTTCAGTTCATCTTGGCCCAATCTCAGCCCAACATTGTCAATAATCATGCAGGAGTTCAAGTCCCATTGCTCTTGGCTGGCAAAGCATCCAGGAGAACTAGGGCAATTACCTAGTCTGTGAGCCCCCCCCCCCCAGGGACTCAGCCAGCAGGGCCATTTGTGTCTCACACAGACCCACCTATCTAATACAGTGGCTGATGAGTTGTTCTGAACTCAGCCACCTCCCTGGCCTGCAGGCCCACAGCAGCCTCATGGCTGAGAAGACCACCTCCCTAAACTCGCCTAACTGAAAGCCTGAGTCCTGCAACACATTAAAAGAATACCAGTCTTAGCAAAATGGCAATTATTTGGAACTGGAATTCAGGAGGAACTCATTAGCTGAAGCACAATTTATAAACTAGCGAAAATGAAAAGGGGGCAGTAAAAGTGCCACTGCAAAAATAGATGACACATTAAACCTTAATTAATTGCATGTCACTTTAAAAGGGAACAAACTGCGAAATTAAAACTCTAATGAACACTGCATGAAAGAGACATTTTTCAAATGCTAATGACAAACTAAAGCAATGGCTGTCCAGAGCTTAGCAGTCTTCCTCCTACTTTTTAACATGATCAGAAAACAAACACTATAAATCAAGAACAGCCAACCCACTTTAGCAGCCCTGGACCCCAAGTCACCATGCTCCAAGTAGTGACTCACTTCCCTCAGGAAACTGTTGCTAAGGATAACAGCAACTAAACTATGAGTGATGGGTACAGCTGTCCCTGGTCTCCCTTCGAAAGGGATTGGGCCCAAGACCCCCAGCGGGTACCAATTCTGAGGTGGCTCAGGTCCCACATATAAAATAGTACATTTGCATCACCCTGATACACTGAAACATCTCCTGATTACCCATAATCCTAACTCAATAAAAATGCTATCTATGGTTGCCACATTGTATTTAGGGAACAGCAACAAAAGAGGTGTGTGTGTGTGTGTGTGTGTGTGTGTGTGCATATGCATGCATGTGTGTGTGCTCTATCAGAACTAGCTGAACTCAGACACAGAATCAAACATGGAGCTGGAAAAATGTGCTACAGTGCTTGGGATTGAGATTAAACACAGGACCTTGCTTATGCCAAGCGTATGCTCTAGAAGGGGATTCTAAAAGAATCCTAGAAGATGGTTCACACTTTATAACGACCCCTTTTGAAGAGTGACAAGAGCTTGGGAGATGCTGTTATATCCTGTCCTTACAGTGGATCACCAGTGCCACTCCCAGCCAGCACCATCTTACCCACGGAATAAAACTGGAGACAAGACTTGGGCTCTCACTCTTGTGTCTACTAGCACCATGCTGTGTGCTGCCATGTTGCCTACACAAAATGCTCCACTACACTCAACTATATACAATACATCATGATTGGACTAACTAGGGTTGCTCAATGTTGAAAGTACTAGAATTTTTGGCCAGTATTTCTTTGTTATGGTGATAGCCTGTGCACTGTGGTGATGTTCTAATAATATCTTTGGTCTCTAAAAGATGCCAGTAGCAACCCATTTGTTGGGACAGCCAAACTCTTCTTTGGCCATTGTCAAATATCATCTAGGAGACAACATTGCCCCATCTCAGAGTCACTGGTCTAACCTAAGGACTACGGTCCTGTCCCCATCGGTCAGCCCCCTGTGGCTCAGTGAGCCAGGCCTGACCAGTGAGCCCTAATGAGTTGTTTGCCTCCTGCTGTTCATTCCTACCAGAAGCACAGATCAGGGGCCCGGAGGTCTGGTGACTCCCACAGAATCAAGGTGCCAAATGGGGCTGGCAAGACGGTTCAGTGGATAAAGTGTTTGTCGTGATCATGAAGACCTGAATGGATTCCCAGCCCATGTAAAAAGCCAGGCACTGGGCATGTTGGAGTGCACCTGTAATCCCAGTGCTGGGGAAGCAGAGACAGGGGCATCCCTGGAGCTCACTGGCCAGCCATTCTAGCTGAGAGGAACCTCCAGATTCAGCAAGAAACCCTGCTCAAAAAAACAAGGTGGAGAGCAAAAGACAACACTAAACATTAACCTCCGGCCTCCATACACAGTCGCATTCACATGCATGCATACCCACATACCAATATGCATACATGTATGCACACACACATCAACATGCATACATGTATGCCCACACACCCCAATATGCACACATATGAACACACATATGAACACGTATGAACACATACACCATGAATGCATACACGTATGAACACATACACCATTGGGCACACACACACACACACACACATACAGGCTAAGCAGAACTGGTGGGTAAAAAAAAAAGCAGGGTCTACATGTCATGGAACCTAAGTCAACTCTGAGTAGGATCTTCTGACCCCATGGCTTCCAATGAACTGAGAGAAATGTGTCTGCCTTCTTTAAATTGTCCCCAGGGTGGGATTTTTTTTTTTGCTACTGGCACCATGGTAAGCAAGTGCTAAAGAGAACCGGCAGACCTTGTATCACTTGGTCTCAGGAACACTCTCCCCTGGGAGCCATGATGACCCAGGACCAGGCAGCCTATGAGAGGGAACAGAGCAGGAAGCAGAAATGTGTCACTTCCTCTTTCTTTTCTGTCCCAGTAGCTACCTTTCATGTCATCTATCCTACAAAACCCAGCTCAGCTGCCCCCCTGCCACTGCTGACCGGTCCTGGCAATCATCACTATCCTGCCTACTCTAACTTAGGCCCTGAAAGTAGGGCCAATTGTGATGCAAGGGCCACCCTCCTGACACAGCAGGGGTGACAAGCTCCTGTGAGACTCAGCAAGCAGGAAACTGGCACCCCTGGGCTATCAGCAGGAGGATACATCTCACAGCCTACCTGGGCCTTCAGCTGGCACTCCTGGGGTGTCTACCTTTCTCAGAGGCAGGCTGCAGGCAGCCCAGCGTCCCACAGGGAACACAGCCACTCCCGCCTCCCTCCCCACAGTGCCTCTCCCTAAGGCATGTCCTACAAAAACTGCTCCCTGGGTCTCTGCAGTGGAGAGTTCCCACTTATAGGCTGCTTCCTGGCTTTAAGAGGAAATTATGGTGACAAGAATCCCATGGGTTTTGAGAAGCATATCATGAGAGCTTGTCTAAGAAGAGAGCAAACATACAGGGAACAATGTCTGCAGTGAGCTCCTCACTTCCCTGTCAGTCAATTTTGTCCCCAGGAACCACAGCAGGACCCTAGGCTCCACTTCATGTTCTCCCCAGAGTCTGCAGTGATTACATCACACTTCAGGAACAAAGTGAACTCTTAAGCAAGTCTGGAACCTGGCAACTTCCACTGGGAGAAGGGGGGGAAATCACATCGTTGACAGAGCCACTTACGGAAATAGACCTGTCACTTTGGTGCATTAATATTCCACTGGGTTAACAAGGTGCTGCATGTCCCTTTCTATTCTTATCAGAATGGCTGGCATTATCAGGACGCCTGATCCCCAACAGCCACTAGGTCGGTTTGCAGAATTGGCTGCACTAGTCATTAAATTCAAAGTTCCGATAATCCTAACGTTATTGTATTCTACCTGACAATGCAGATAAGGGCTGACATGTGCCTGTGGTTTGCCAACTGAGGAAAAATCTAAAGGGTTTAAGGGGTCAGCCAATTCAATCATTCATCATTCTAGGTGAAGTGGTTCCAACTGCATGTAATAAAATCGCAAGTCAGAAACTCAAATCTGGTGTCAAAAGCTCTCAGGAACCGAAGAATCCTGCATTCTAAAAAATAAAAATCAAAATGACATACATGTGTTTTGTGCTAATATATGGTATCATATGTGTCTTTTGCTTTTATAATAATCATATAGGATAACCATTCTGCAGTCTGCTGCTGAACCCACTGCCCTCTGACATACATAAATGCTGAGGGTTAAATTCAAGAAAAATCACAGACAACTGGTACCTAGGAATATCTCCATTTTCTTAATACTGTTGTATTTAAATGGAAATAAGAAATCAAATATCAGTGTAAACTTTTTAAACATCTCAACAGGCATCCTTACCACTGTCTAACAAACCCAGAAAGGCCATTCACTTGAACACTGGTTTCTTTTAAGATTTATCTGCTATAAAAGGAAAACAAAGGTAAGAAGACAGGTGCAGACTAGAATATTCTAGAGGCTGAGTGCTCCAATCAAAGCTTCTCAGGGAGCTGAAAGGCACCCTAAAGGGAGTGCAGCCCAGAACAGAGCAGGCCAGGAGGAGGGAGGACTGTGTCCAAGAACAGAACAGTCTCTCTCTTTTTCTTAAAAATCACATCCCACTTTAATTAATTGCATCTGTGGCTCTTGGTAGGAGACAATCACATCCCTAGGGGTCATTGGCAATATCCGCAGGCATTTCGGGGTGTCCCAACTAAAGGGTACTAACAACATATGGTAGTAGAAATAATAAAAGCTGCTAACGCCCTACACATTGGCAAGATGGCCCCCACAAGGATTGAGCCAGCTCCACATGTCACTACTGTCAAGAAGTTCTGTGCCTTATCACAAGGATGATTTTTAAAGAGAAAATTTTTGCTCCATTTGTCATTCATTCACAAATAAATAGCTACTGATCGTGCCAATATATCAATAATGAAAGCTGGTGTAACCAGCACATACTGGCAGCTTCCTCCAAGGTAGGCACCCTGCCTTCACATGAACAAAATCCCACCTACAACTTGCTATGATAAGGCTGTCACTAGTTCTTTGTCATTGTCTGGGGCCCAAAGAGGTCAGTGACAGGTCCCTGTACAGGTAAGTAGCAGGCTGCACAGGTAGCTGTATTACTGGCTTTGGGCTTGTTTCTACTGCATTCTAAAGAACATGGCCAACAACGACACGAACTCCTGACGATTATTCTAGACTTCAGTGGAGAGAAGCTCAAAGTGGTTGTGGGATCAATGGGGAAAAGTTTAGAGGCCTCATGTCAAATTTAGAAGCAAATAGCCGACAGTAATAGAAAGAGCAATATTAACACCAAGCCAAATGCCCTCATCTTCCAGGAGCCAGGGAGAAATGTTGAATGCTGTAGCTAATACCTGAAACCATAGGAGATCTAAGAAAAAAATGACAAGAATAGTTATTTCAACTCCCGCCAAAAGAGAGTTGAGAATTCAAATTAATTAATTTGGGGAAAAAGCACTTGATATGATTGACGCCCTAACTTTTGGGTTGAAGAATATAAAATCACTAAAGACCTACATTTAGTTATAACTAGATCTTGACACAGTAAACACAAAGATTTCACCCAACCCAATAATCACCATTTAAATGGAACAGGAGGGCTTCAACTCTGCTGATACAGATATCTAGCTTTTATAAATTAAATTCAGTTGAATGAAAGGCATAATCAGTGGCATTAATTTCAAAATACAACAACATGGATGTATTATTCCAATGTGTATTTGCACATATATGCACACATGCCACTGCTTACACATGAAGGTCAGAGAACAACCTGCAGGAAAGGAATCCGTTCTCTTCCATATGGGTCCTAGGATTGAATCAGTGCCAGGAGTTCGCTCTAATTATGATTTTTTTTTCTTCAACAAAGTTTTTTACCTCCCAAGTTTCCTTCTTTGCTCATTAAATCTGGGGTGTTTTTCTTAAAGTATTTTCCGACACATGTAGATTAAATCAGGAGGAAAGGAAAGACAACCCAAGGCTGTGAATCCCACAACTCCAGAGTAACCACAGGGCAGACAAGGGGGAAAGATGCCATGTAATGTAAGTCACAAACAACAGATAAAGACAGAGCAACTGTCACAGACCAGAGGGGGATGGAGGACATGTGAACCACATGTGGAAACCAGCTGGGGGCAAAGAACAGAAATAAGGCATTCATGGGAGGACCAATGTCTAAAACAATGTCACCACTCTTGGGTAACAAGGATCAGAGGGGCTTTGTGGTCTGACCTCAGTGTGCTCAAAACTCATTTGCTGGAACTTTGTATGCACTCTGATGGTAATAAGAGCCAAAATTTTGAGGATATGCCTTGCCTGAGAGCAAGGCCCCACAAACAGGATCAGTGCCCGTTGTGAAGACTCTTAAAGGGCACTTCTTGGCCCTGCTATGTGAAGACACATGGAAGCTTGAATCCTTGCAAGCATAAAATTTGATGATGCCTTAATGCCAGGTTCCCAGCATCTAGAACTGAGAACAGTACATAGATTCTGTTTATAAACCCTTGCTCTTCAGGAATGGCCACACACTCGGCAAAGGACAAAGATTTAAAGCAACCACATTAAGTAAGAGCAACACCCTGTATGGTGTTAGATGCTAACTTTGAACCCACTATTGTGCACTGCATTTTTTTTTCTCAATTCTCAAAGAAACCTACTCAAGTTGCTCCAGCAATGACCCTTTCAATGTCAAATCAGGAAAAGAACCAAAGAGGTCAGTCCCAAGGAATTTTTCATGGGTTCATCAGTGAAGAGGTCAATCCCAAGGACTTTCTCATGGGTTCATCAGTGAAGAGGTCAGTCTCAAGGACTTTCTCATGAGTTCATCAGTGAAGAGGTCAGTCCCAAGGACTTTCTCATGGGTTCATCAGTGAAGAGGTCAATCCCAAGGACTTTCTCAATGGGTTCATCAGTGAGGAGGTCAATCCCAAGGTCTTTCTCAATGGGTTCATCAGTGAGGAGGTCAATCCCAAGGACTTTCTCATAGGTTCATCAGTGAGGAGGTCAGTCCCAAGGACTTTCACATTGGGGTTCAAACATCTACACAGTGCTATCACATTCATCCTCAGAGGGGAGGGAGAGGAAGGTTGAGGACAGGGAAGTACTCAGGATGTCAATGAAGACACGCAGAGCAGTATGCTGTCATGGAGACCCAGCTTTAGCTGGAGGATATTCCCATTGCTCTGAAGGAGCAAGCCCATCCCTACCCTGGGCCATCTTCAATACTGCGGCCCTTAGGACATAGGCAAGGCCAGAATGACCACTTCTTATACACATGTGTGTTCAGGTGCACATGCACATGTACCTAAAGAGTTAGGCATGTGGAGGCCCATAGCTGATGTCAGGGATCTCCCTTGAGTACCTCTGACTTTTGTCCTGGAGCGCATTCATTCAGCTAATCTAGCTAGACAGCGTTTTCCTGAGACCCCCTTATTGTTTTTATCTTCCCAGTGTGGAATTCCAGGTGGGCTGCCATGTCCACTGACATTTATGTGGGTTCTCGGAATCTCGATTCCAGTCCTTGGGCACATGGGGCATCAATCTACCTGCTGTGCTAACTGCCAAGTCCCCCAGAATATACACTTTTGAAGAATAAATCTGAGCACAGCTAGAAAGCCAACAGACAGACAGATAAGGGAACACATCAGCAAGGAGCAATGGGAATTTCAGGAAATGGCCAGTGCTGTGATCAGTCCTCATTGGCCAGCCCTGAAGCCATGTGCTTTGGACTTCTTTTCCCAAATGTAGACAAGCTCTCATGTGTCTCAGGCTTCCCTTAGATTTGGTTTGTAACTGAGGATGGCTTTGAAGTCCTTGTCCTCCTGCCTCTGAATGTGAGTGCTGGGGTTACAGGCATGCATCACCACACCCAGTTTTGCATTACTCTAGGATTGAGTCCCAGGATTCTCTGTGTATGCTGGACAAGCATTCTGCTCACTGAGCTATATACCCCAGATTACTTTCGGCTTTTCAAAGAAATGCAGCCACGCAGCTCAAAAAAAGCAAAACAAATCCATTCCTTGCCGCCACTGTTTTCAGTTAAATGGTATGGGTCTATTTAGTATGCATTCTTTAAAAGAAACCCCTTGGCATATCTAGAGCCTAGAGGCCACACTGGACAAGTGGACTTACCTGCCAGCATCAGGGCTCGCACACACTCCGTTCTGCCCTGCATGGCTGCTTTCATGAGAGCAGTGAAGCCAAATATGTTCCGCCTTTCTAGGTCCAGGCCAGGGAAATAGTTGAGCAAGTAGTTGGTGATGGTGGCATGCCCTGAAAGAGAATGACACATGCATGCAGATTCATGTACCCACATGGGTGATCCTTTCTATGTGGCAGAGAAAGAAACTGCTCCTCATCAACCATGTAGGCTGTCACCTGGACACAGGGAGCACAGGAAAATGGAACTGTGCAGTTCCCTTGTGGCCTTTCAGTCTCCCTGGGGGTGGGGGGCACAGGGCAGAGGCGGGTTTCCCACAGACAGGGTGCAGTCAACTCCCAGCAGGAGTCACTGGGGCAAACAGGCTGAAAAGGAGCTTGGGAAACATTTCCAAGTGGAGGAACACATCAAAGCCAGAATGTATTGTAGGGGCATCTTGCTTTGCCAGTGAAATTGGGGGATCCCCACCCTCTCTGTACCTGATGCCATCCTTCCCTTTACCTTTACACGTATGGAAGTCAGTCCCCTGTGGCCCAGAGTCCCCTTTCCAGCATGATTCCTGAGCAGAGATTGAATGGGTGGAACAACATAGGACCTTGGGCCAAGAAACACTTTGGAGGCTCTCCTAATTTTTGCAGACTGAGAAGTCTGAAGCTAGTGGCAGCTCTGAGAATCCATCTCCCTGCTGTGGCTGCAACTCCAGCAAAGCAGGTTTCAGAATGGAGGTAGAAGGTAGAGGGGGTACATATATCCTTGACCTTCATCCTCCTTCCCAGTCCTTACACACTGTATGAGCACAATATTAAATCCACCCATACACTGAGCAGCTTTGGTCAGCCCAAGCACACCCAAGTGACACAGATATCCAGGCTGCAACCTCTGTGGTCCCTTGTGAGGGACATTATATACACCAGGCTGCTATCCACACTGTCCAAACTCAATCTTTGTGGTTAACCTGTCACCAACTTAAAAGTTAAAACAAGCCTCATAGACCAAAGTTCTGAGTCTTAAGAAGCAGGACTATGGCTCACTGCTGAGCTCAGCCACAGCTCTGAAAAGGGGGTCAGAGCCTTGCTGACTGTTGGGACCAGGCTGCGGCTCCAGGCTAAGTAACACGCAGGTTCCGACTTGCTGATGGCGCCTTTTGGACTCACTGAACACTTGGCCTCCTCTGTGTGAAGGGGGTCAAGATGAAGCTGGGGGTCAAGAGCCCACAGTAGCTCAATAGTTCTAAAGCTGGTGAGGTAGTAGAAGACAGACCTTTGATCTCGCGAGCTTGTGTTCCGCTTGAACATTCGCCACACCAGTCAGATTTAGTCCGGGTCTCAGTGAAACAAATTGCGATTTGTTCTGATCATTTTCTTTAAAGTGTGACACTGCAAGTCAGTCGTAATTTGTAGATGTTGTTTGTGCACAACCACAAACACACACACACACACACACACACACACACACACACACACACACCCTTTGCAAGTTGAATCATCTATAAAGCAAACCTGCCCATTATAGAGAGATTTTATGCATATTGTATTAAGGACAGAAAACCCAACATGGGAAGTTGCGTCCTGACTGGAGTCTGGAGCCCTGATTATGCCAGAGTCACCTCACCCCTCGTCCCTAGGCTTTTCCAGAGGGAGAATGACACTTCTACCATGCAGATGTCTGCATTCAGTAGAAATTAAAGATGGCTGTATAAGCAATAACTGTTCTCCTGAAAAGTCAGGGCAAGTGGAGACTGGGAGACTGGGGTGGTGAGTGGAGCTCATGGATGTAACAATGTATCACTTGACAGCCAGGAAAGATGTCATAGATCTCCCTGGGGAAGTAAAGCAGGACAAGTAAACCACAAGTGCACGCTCTCTCTCTTTCTCTGTCTCTCTGTCTCTGTGTGTGTGTGTGTGTGTGCACGCGCACGTGTGTGCGTGCACACGCGCTTGCATGTCACTATGGTGACCCACGACCCACAATCCTGTTTCTATGGAATCTAATGCCCTCTTCTGGCCTCGTCAGGCAGCTGCACTCCTGTACACAAATACACGCACATACATAATTAAAAACAGAAGCCTTGTATTTCTACCAATAGTCCTGTGGGCTGTCCTCACACACAGCCACCCTTTACTAACCATTCCTGTCCTTTCAGCCATGTGCTTAGCTGATACCAGCACTCTTTCAACTGTGACTGAACTCCATCAACACCTTGTGGTGAATTCAGTGGCGTTTTTGTTACTTGACATCCCCACAGCACTGACTGCTTCCCCCTCCATCATTCACAGAACTTTCTTCCCATGAATACTCCTGAAGCTCACCATTTGACACACACGCCCCGCACCTCACTGCCTTTCTTGTTCGTGGAGAATTGTTGCTCCACAGATGGGCAGACAAGCCCTCTCCTCACCCCACACACTCTCCTTCCATATCCCCACATTCCACGTACTCAGTTATTAGCTCCAAATCCCCAACTCCCCACATCAACTTCTGACCTTTGTTTAGTTTCTCACCTAAATATCTGTCTACCAGGTACTTATCCTGGCTGCCCCACAACTAAGCCACACCCCTTGCATCAAACTCCAAATGCCTTCCATTCTGGTGCACTCTCCCCATGCCCCACCTCTTCTTCAAGGATGGATAACACCAGACATGTAACCCAGAAGCCTGGGCTTCATCCCAAACCCCGCACATCTCCTACATGCCACCAGTTAGCAAATTCTGCCAATCTCCCGTCTCCCCTGTCTTCCAGCACGCCCCATCCTTGCTTTTCCATGCCCATGATCTGGGTGTGGCATTTCCTCTGGCACTCCTATGACTAGCCTCCCTGGCTTCCCTGCTGCCCACCCTCCACCTACAGCATGTGTGGTCCAGGAAGAAGCCTGTCTGACCACAGCAGCCACTCAAAACCCTCAGTGGCTTGTGCACCTCGGACAACTCACTTCTGTGGTGAGCGTCTCTTCTTTACCCTCCATCCTCAGCCACATCCTCCATCCCCCAAACACATCACCCTCCATCCCCCAAACACATCACCCTCCATCCCCCAAACACATCACCCTAACACATCATCCTCCATCCCCCAAACACATCACCCTCCATCCCCCAAACACATCACCCTCCATCCCCCAAACACATCACCCTCCATCCCCCAAACACATCACCCTCCATCCCCCAAACACATCACCCTCCATCCCCCAAACACATCACCCTCCATCCCCCAAACACATCACCCTCCATCCCCCAAACACATCATCCTCCATCCCCCAAACACATCACCCTCCATCCCCCAAACACATCACCCTCCATCCCCCAAACACATCACCCTCCATCCCCCAAACACATCACCCTCCATCCCCCTACACATCACCTTCCATCCCCCAAACACATCACCCTCCATCCCCCAAACACATCACCCTCCACCCCCCAAACACATCACCCTCCATCCCCCTACACATCACCTTCCATCCCCCAAACACATCACCCTCCATCCCCCAAACACATCACCCTCCATCCCCCAAACACATCACCCTCCATCCCCCAAACACATCATCCTCCATCCCCCAAACACATCACCCTCCATCCCCCAAACACATCACCCTCCATCCCCCAAACACATCACCCTCCATCCCCCAAACACATCACCCTCCATCCCCCTACACATCACCTTCCATCCCCCAAACACATCACCCTCCATCCCCCAAACACATCACCCTCCACCCCCCAAACACATCACCCTCCATCCCCCTACACATCACCTTCCATCCCCCCAAACACATCACCCTCCATCCCCCAAACACATCACCCTCCATCCCCCAAACACATCACCCTCCATCCCCCAAACACAGACTTTCTCCCCTACCTGGTGACCTCACAGCTCTCCTTTGTATTGTGGTTTGCGTGTTTGGATCTTTTCCCCCCAAGCTCTTGCTTACACACACACACACACTCTTGCTTACACACACACACACACACACACACACACACTGCATTGAGCACACTCCCCTCACACTTCCACTCCTTTCTCACCCCTCCCCATTCTCATTAGTCCTCTTTGTTCCCTTAGCTCAGTGGTTCTCAACCTGCCTAATGCTGCGAACCCCACCCATAAAATTAGTTCATTGCTACTTCATAAATAACAACTGTTATGGATTGTAATGTAGATATCTAATATGCAGGACACCTGATATTTGATCCCTGTGGGGTCTTGACTCACAGGTTGGGAACCACTATTTTAGGGTTTTACTTCTACTTTGGTGTGTGTGTGTGTGTGTGTGTGTGTGTGTGTATACATGTAGCTGCTATATAGAATAAGGAACACAATTGAGAAAAGACATACAACATTTGTCCTTCTGGAAACTTGACTCCAGCCATATCCATTTTTCTGCAAATACTATAACTTCCTTCTTTATGGTTGAAAAAAAAATCCATTATGTATATATACCACATTTTCTTTACACACTAAAGTTGCTGGATACCTAGATTTATTCTAGAATAGCGCCACCACAGACACAGATATGCAAGTATCTCTGAGATGTCTACAGCTCCTCTGTTTTAACCCCCAGGAACTCTGTCTCTAACCCGGGGTCTCTGTATACACCCCATCCACAACACCTAGCCTCTCTTTGTCTGGCCATCTGATGGGCCACCCTTTCCAACACTCCTTCCTCCCTGGTTTTGCAACAGGATTTGAACCCAGTGTGCCACGGTGAGCCACAGCCCTCCAACTGGCTGCAGACTCCAGGCTCGGTGAATACCTGTCCAATAAGAAGGTCAAAACACACCCAATTCTCCCTCCGGAGAAGCTCCCTCAACAGACACTTCATGATCATCAAGCCACCAGCCCCACCATTTAAGATTAAATGGTCATCATTCAACATGGTCACAAGCACCAATTATGGCTGTCTTGCTGTCACAAAGAACAGGGGCAGGTGGTAAGATGTCTTCCTCCATCCAGAGCTGTCTTGTGTGACTTGACTCACTGTGCTCTCCCAATCGGGCCAGTAGAGGGAACTCTTGGCTTTGGAAATGCAGAGGCAGACAGAGATTCCCTGGGAATTGCTACTAGAAGAGGAGAGGGAGAAGCCAGAGCTGGGGAAGCAGGGCTGGGGGAAGGCAAGCTTCCCTT